GTGCGTGAGTGTGTGTGTGTGTACGTGTGCGTTCATTCAAGTTCAACAACAAAAAATTTAACATAAAAACATTCGCGCGTAATTAACTGAAAGTAAGAAAAAAAAAAAAAAAAAAAAAACTTTACATGCCCACGTACGTAATTTTTAAGTAAAATAAATGGGAAATATTGCAATAATAATAATAATAATAATAATAATAATAATAATAATAATAACGATAATGAATAAATTTAGGTCAGTATTTAAGGTTTGTTGTACAATTGTTTTTTTCTTTTTTATAATGCCAAACGTCGAACGGGGTGCAATTTAACAGTTAAAAAAAAAAAAAAAATCTGCGTAAAAATTGGACGAAAATCAAGTTTAGTCAGAGAGAGAGAGAGAGAAAAGTGTTAACGAACTTAAAATTTTCAATTTCCCTGACCTTGAATGTCTGATATTGCATTTATGTTTGTACGTATTGTTCGATTGTTGTTTGTTATTGTAAAAGAAAAAATTGTTTTTGTTTTGTTTTGAATTTTTAGTCATCTTCGACCTTCTAGAACAAATTGCATATATATTCAAAGGATTTAAAAAAGTTTTCATAAAAGAAAAACTCGGTCAAAACTCCATCGTTGTTATTAAATTCAAAAAAGATTCCAGAAAAGTCAAATCAGCATCAAATTGAGAAATTTTTTTTATCAAAACGCCACCCTCAAAAGTAATTGATTTGATTAACCGAGTCATTTCCTTTTTGAAAATGTTATGACGCGTGATGACGTAACAATCAAGCAAACGAATAATTGTTATAATTTTTTTTTTTTTTTTCAAAAGTTGCAACCCCGAATTCGATCACGTGATTATAATATTATTATTAATCTCAAATTCTATCATAATCTAACGACAATTTTTATAACAAACCAAAAATGTAAATTTATTTTTAAAATAAAAAAACAATAAAAATAATTTGAGAGCGTTAGTTGATGACGTCTAATAAAAAAAAAAAAAATGGCGGAAAAAAGAAATTTTTCTTTTCCAATATTAAATACGATACGGAAAATATAATTTTACGTAATAAGAAATTTTTTTTTAACAGGTTTCGACACCGTAAATAATTTTTTTTTTTATTTGGCGACAAATTACATAAATAATTTCACATCATTATCAGTTCAATCAACTTAATAAATATTTTTGTAAAAAAAAAAAATTTTTTTTTTTTTTTTTATTATTTGTTCGTAAATCAATTTTGTTACAGTCAAAAAAAAAAAATTTTGTTACACTGACCCAAAAATTTTGCCAAAATCTTATTTCCTGTTCCAACTTTAAAAAAAATTTTTTTTTGCTGCGGTTGTTGTTTTTGTTTTGGTTGTTGTTGTTGTTGTTGTCGTAGAAGACGATTAAAATAAATAAATAAATAAAAATTAATTTAATTAACCTTGAATCGAATTCGAAAAATTCTTTTTCTAACGGTTTTTTTTATTTTAAATTTCGAATTTCTTATCGAGGCGTTCTTTTTATTTTACCTTTTTTTTTCTTTTTTTCCTTTTCCTTTGTTTAAATACTTATAATCCGTTTTTCGATTGTTCTTTCTTTTTTCAATAATAATAATAATGATATGAATGTTAAAATTCTCAGATTTGATTTTCCTTCGGTTGAAAATGAAAAAAAAGATGGTGATGATGATGATGTTGATATCGAATAAAAAGCAATAATTCAAAACTAATTTTCTCAGACCGCTTTCATTTTTTATTTATTTTTTATTTTGTAAAAAAAAAAAAAAAAAAAATTAATGCCAAAATTTTACGCAAATCTGATTCCAAGAAGTCTGATTCAATAATTGTCGTCTCGTTAAAGATGATGAAATTTTTTTTACAAAAAAAAAATTGTCACTTTTTCAAATAATAAACATTTGTTTGTTTGTTCCCGGAGGACATTTTTGTTCTTCGTCTCTCGCGAATCGATTAATTATGTTTACAAAGAAAAAAAAAACCTTGTGGATTTAACCGTTTCCGAACAAAAAAAAAAAAACAAATTAAAAACGTTACCGTTTAAAAATAAAAAATCACTTACTTTCGTCTCCTTACAAAACGTATTTCACTTACCGTGATCACGTGATCGATTACGTAGATGAAAAAATAAACCAATCAAAAAATTACTTTTTTCCGGAAAAGAAGTGATTTGATTGGTCGATTTTTTATCACCTGACACCTTGTTAACAAGCGTCGGAAAAAATTTTCTTTTTTTTCTTTTACCTACGGCCATAAATTCAAATCGTTCTCCATTTATTTATTTATTTATTTCGTTAAAATATTTATTTAAATGATTATAAAATACAGTTTTTCTTTTTAAATTTTCTTCTCGTTCTCCATTTTGTTTATTTATTCGTTAATTATTATTATTATTTTTCTACGAAACTTTTAACCGCAAAAAATACGTCAATGGTTTATAACCGTCGTCTTCATTTTTTTTTTTTTTTTTTTTTTTTACCAAAATTAAATTTAGGTTAAAATCATTTTTTTTTTAAATTTATAATTTTACCTTAGTCCTATTATTATTATTATTAATTTTATTTCTCGTCGTTTTCCC